CTGTTAGTAGCGTGCGTACGTACGTTAATGCAGCACTCACATATAATCTATATGTGCAAAACTGGCTGGCTGCTAGCCTTTTTTAAAAATAAAATAATTGTTGTGCTCATGAAACTTTTTCAGGGATAGAAATGGCTCGATTTGGTTTGTAGTTATGAACTTAAATCTGTTGGATCAACGTTTTACCTCTAAATCTGGGGGCAGGCGGGAGCGGTCCACGTTCGATACAACGTTTTGATTCAGTCCTTCTGAAAGGCGCTTATAATTTAGTTGACGGACAAACGAAACGTTGCTCTTTTATAAATGATTCTCACGCCGTACACTATTCTGTATCGTGTGTGCCAGCCTGATACTTGACATTTTTTCACCTACATTTCACATGTGACGTGAATGTACGTGCATTCAATCAATGTTTGTTTGTAGTTGTGTTTTATTGTTGTAAATAAACGCGTTATATCTGTGCGCGGTTTGCCCCTGCCATTTAATGTCAAGGCCAACATACATTGTCAAGTTTCCGCTTCTGTAAATGTACACGTAAAATAACCGAGAAATGTTGTTGTTGAAAATCTTTCACGAAGAGGTAAGAAACATCTTAACGATTTGGCCAGCCGGACTTCGGAAAATATTGTGGTTTCCAGAGAGAGAGGAAACATCGGGTTAGACGGACCGAGGCGAAATGAGTAATCAGATTTAAAAAAATGTAACGCGTAAATTCTAGATTTGAAGCTTTTGTGACTGCAAGGATTCATATTCTTCAGTTTTTTCGGTAAAGTCACGTAGGTAAATTTACTTGATACAGCAAGCGAGCTGTGACGGTTCCACCTGAATACGGAAGCTTGTGTTGCCTCCGAAACGTCGTGATTTTCATTTTATTTTTTATTTTATTTTACTTTTATTTTTTTATTTAATTTTTTACCTACGTGACTTTACCGAAAAAACCGAAGAATATGTAACGCGTAGCTGACGGGATTTTCCAAACTCCTCCAGTCGGCGCCACACAATTTTCTCCCATTCAAATACGAATTAAGTCCTTCCACGCTGCACGCGCCAGATAATTGTTAAACAGGTCCCACGTGACGAGCTAATCAATTAACACTGCGAAAATTGCCGATTCGAATGAAGCTCGTGACAAGGTAGCGATGCAGGCAATTTCTCCTTCACAAAGAAAGTTTTTTTTTTTACAAAACCCGCCGCATTACATCCTGGCCAGAGGTCGCAAACGGGTTTTGATTCCTTACCCGTACCCGTACCCGGCCGCACCAGGGTCGCAAATGGGTACCCGTATCCGGCCGGTTACGGGTACCCATACCCTACCCGTACCCGTACCCTACCCGAAATGAGTGACAAACGGTTACTCACCAGTGACTCACGGACTACCCGTACCCGTACCCGGCCGCACCAGGGTCGCAAACGGGTACCCGTACCCGTACCTGGCCGGTTACGGGTAGCCGGGTCATCGGGTAGGGTACGGGTATCGGGTACCCGGTTGCGACCTCTGATCCTGGAGTGCATCATTTTAACGGCATTCATTCAATGTACGCAAACTCTGGACCCGTTTTAACAGTCTCACCAGCAGCGTCTGGCTTGCTTGAGCCATTGCTGGAACAGTCAGATGTTATGGGCAAGAACCCTCTATTTGAGATATGGGTAGTAATGTAAAATTACGGTCATGTAAAAGTTGGCAATAGTGTCATCATCTGAGTCGTAGCCCGAATCACACACAAAACAATCCCGCAAATATAAGGTTCCTGTAGAGTACTGCCCTTAACTATTAACACAGGAAAGTCCCACCACAGAGTCTCAACAAGGCTGTTTTGGCCGATTCCATTCATGGGGGTTTGCCACGTGGGAGGAAAGTGAAATAGCAAGAGAAACCGCACACAATACTGTACCGTACGACAGCGTAACACTCAACACTCCACACGGATAGATTCAAGAATCCACTGTTATATTGCCGTATCCTGGCCACCTCGTAGTCCAGGCCTACAACGTTTGATATTCCAAGGCAGTGTCACATTCAAGTACTAGCCAGGCGCAGGCCTGCTTGGCTTCCGAGACTGACGGGTTGGCTGCATTCCGACTGATTTGTTCACGGACTTTGCTGGCCAAACCAGCCAGGGGCGCAGCGCCTCGCAACCGGAGCAGACAATCATCGTCACTGATTCACGATGCAGGTTTTTGGTTTCAGATAAATGTTGCGTGGAAGTGAAAGAAGTGAATTATTTTGCCCTTTGAAAAACGTGACACATTTTTTATTTATTATTTGACCCTGTCGGGTGGTGGAGGGTAACAACACATTTAGAAATAACGCGATCTGACCCAACAACCTTGATTATGAATAATATTGGTCGCGAAAGCCGACGTGTTAAATCGTCACTGATGTTGACCGTGAACGGGAATCGAACTTCGGGACGCCGGGTTGGTAGCGCAACGCTTTAACCACTGCAATACTGCTCCCCTTTACCAATGAAACACAAAGATCCCCCGTATAGCCTTAACAGACTGCAGGGGCATGTGCTGTTAGCGAGCACCTATGATGGCCGGGACGGTACACGAGGGGGTGGGTGGCCAGTACCACGCCCGACAGCCTTTGTCTCCCCAGTGGCGATGTTTACACACCGCACCGGGTACTCATTTAAGGCTGAGTCGACCTAGGGGAGGCCCAGGACCGGTTCAGATAATCGTCACTGGTGTTGGCCGTGAGCGGGAATCGAACCCGGGTCGCCAGGTTCATAGCGCAGCGCGCTAACCGCTACACTACCGCTCCCCACACACACACACACTGACTTGACTGACACACGCAACACACTCCCCCCCCCCCCCCTCTTAGTTAATTGGCTGAGCCGGGTGCCCCCCATCCTGGATGGGTAATAAACTCGAGGCTCACGCGTCCGCGGCTCTAATTGAGCCGCCGTGACCTGGGGGAGGCCGTGGCGGGCTAGGGGGGTGGGGGGGGGGTCCACAGGCGGTGATCGAGGACTGTGGAAATTACACATTCTCATGACGGCACCGAGTCCGTCCGTCCGTCCGCGGCGGCGGCGGCGAACAACTCCCATCAGCCAAAAATCAAGCGACTGCTGCTGGCTGAAGGGCACAAGGCAAAGCTCCAGAGTGTGGCATGGCATTTGGAAGAGGGTTGCTGAGAGATGGGCCAGTTGTTGGTAGCGCCGATAGCGGGTGAATTCCCGATTGTGTGGTTCCCAGCGCCTCGGGATCATTCCCTCTGACAGTGGAGGGAAACTATGCGTAGCAAATGACGTCCTTCTAAGTCTGTAGTGTTGAACGTATAGAGCAGCGGTCGGGAACCTATGGCTCGCGAGCCATATATGGCTCTTCCGGGGACGGCATATATATGGCTCCCAGACAATTTTAAGTTGAAAATAAATAATAATAAAAAATACAAATAAAATCAGTTTGGAACTGATTTTAAAATACTTGTGATATTGCTTAATATTACTGTGTCATTTTAAAGTAAACAGAAATTAGTTTTGAAGATAAAATTTCTCGGGTCACGGGTCCCGTGACCAGAAGTCGCATTAAAAGTAAGACATTTAATTTATTATACGTTAAAAATACTATATGGCTCTCATTAAAATATATTTAGAAATATTTGGCTTTTATGGCTCTCCCAGTCAAAAAGGTTCCCGACCCCTGGTATAGAGGTTATACTGTGGATAGTAACCATATTTTCGAGAAAATCGATTATGTTGGGTTTCTAACGGTGATTAAATAAATGGCAGTCATCGATTGCTTACCAATGGTACAAATCAATCACGACACGGGAGGCACTAGCATCATCATCATCACGTTCTCGACTACAGTATAAATCTCATGCTTAATTATACCGTAATCGTCACATCAACATCGATTATTCAACCATCGCCTTACTGCGTATAAAACCGTAGTTGGATCGAAATATCGATAATAATCATCGTATACCCAAATCACTCGGGATTATCCAGATCTCTTCAGGTTTCGCAAGCTAAGCAGGGCAGCAGAGAGCAGACAGAACGATCCGTTGTATTGTATTTCTATGGCCCCACGCCCAAGCCCAATTGCTCTTCTAACTCACGCTGACCACGGTGGTGATGTATGGTGAAAAAAACAACCCCCAAACGACCGCTACGGCGCGAGGAAACTCATCCAGCAGTGGAATGAGACTGTGCACGTGCAATACTCATGGCAGATACACCGACTCTTTATACAACTAGGCAGGAGTTATGTCTCCTTGGGGAAACAAGGGTTCTGTGCTATTCTTTTTGAACCTATCTGACGTGAAAGACCCAAAGAAGAAATGGTTCTGTGTCAGAAAAGAGATGAGCCAAGGCCTCTGAATTGCACAAGACAAGCGTTCCGAATCAGATGAGACACGCGCTCCCTATCGCGTGGAACGAGGCTTCTGATTTAGACACGGATTCCGCATCAAATGACACGAGACGATCCAATTATTTTGAGCTGTCGATAAGCCGAGGGTTCTGTATGAGACTTGGGTTCCATATCAGATGAAGCGTGGATTATGTCTAGGATTAGACGACGGTTCTGAACTAGATGGAACGAGAGTGCTTTCTGTGTCAGACGAAACAATAGTTTTAATTTAGACACGCATTCTGTACAGGATGAGACGGAATAATACGAGGAATTTGAATTGGATAACTAGCGCGTGTGCTGCATCAGATGGAACAAGGGGTTTTGAATCAGAGGAGACGGGGGTTGTACATCGAATGGAAACACAATTCCAGGAATAATCCGAATCTCTCACCGAGGGAGATAAGGCCTCGCCGAACGAACAGAGATCAACGCAGCTTCAACACCGACACACAAATTAAAGGAGTATGACAAAAATTAAAATACGCTGATACTGTCAAACACAAAAAACGGGTCCCGTATTGTAGATTAAAGGATCACTGTACTCACAACTGTCCGAGGGCCGTCGTCGAAACGGGTTCACATGCGTCCACAAAACGCATTATTTAAGTCGCGACATGTCACACGGCACATACCTACACGCCAGTAAGGCTTTGATTCCACACAGCGCGAGTTCCAGTGGGATGATGAGCCTGTGTGTGTGTGTACTTTGTGTGTTGTGTGTGTACTTTGTGTTTGTGTGTGTCGTGGGGGTGGGGGGGTTTAAATTTTAAAGTCGTCGGTGTCTCTGCGCGTGTTGTTTACTCGCACCGTTGGCATTTCACGCCGTGTTTCATGTAAAAGCTTCGTTGGAGCTCACGGCCAGCGAGATTAAGGAAAGGGAGTCCGCGTGCCTTCGGGCGGTGATGGAAGGGGAGGAGGGAGGGCGTGGGGGGGGGGTTGGAGTTTGCGCGTGTGAGCGTAAGTAGCGGCTGTGTGTATGTTGATGCGAGCGAGAGTAAATGAAAGAGGATGTGATGGAGAGTGTGAAAGAACGAGTGGTGTGTGTGTGTTGTGCAAGTAGTGTGTGTGAGAGAGTGTGAGTGTGCGGTGCTGTGGAGGGTGTGATCGGGTGTGCGGGTGTGTGTGAATCATCGAAGATGCGACAGGGGGTGTCAGTGTGTGTGTGTGTTGTGTGTGTGTCAGTGTGTGTGTGAGTGTTGTGTGTATGTCAGTGTGTGTTGTGTGTATGTCAGTGTGTGTGAGAGAGTGTTGTGTGTGTGTTAGTGTGTGTGTGAGAGAGAGAGTGTGTTGTGTGTATGTCATTGTGTGAGAGTGTGAGTGTTGTGTGTATGTCAGTGTGTGTGTGTTGAGTGTATGTCAGTGTGTGTGAGTGTTGTGTGTATGTCAGTGTGTGTGAGTGTGTGAGTGTTGTGTGTATGTCAGTGTGAGTGACAGAGGTTTGTAATAGGAAGTGTTTGTGAGAGGGGGATGTATGAGAGAGGGTGCTTGTTCGTATGAGAGTGTGTATGTGTGTTAGTACGAGTGTGTGGGTAGTGTTAGTACGAGTGTGTGGGGAGTGTTAGTATGAGAGTGTGGGGAGCGGTGGTGTAGTGGTTAGCGCTACGAACCCGGCGAGACCCGAGTTCGATTCCCGCTCACGGCCGACACCGGTGACGATTATCAGAAAAGGTCCTGGGAATCCCCTAGGTTGACTTAACCTCAAATGAGTACCTGGTGCGTTGTGTAAACATCGCCACTGGGGAGACAAAGGCGGCCGGGCGTGGTGGCTGGTCACCCACCCCCTCGCGTATACCACCCATGAACATAAAACTACAAGATGACTTGTCACCTATTAAGGGCCGGAAGGGCAGACGAATGAGACGAGAAGGGCTCGAAGTCTGACGGATGAGAGGAATGTCGTAGAGTCTTTGCTTAACAACCATCAACGTGCAACCCCCCCACAAAATTTGATAAATTGAGTCCCCAAATTACAACTCGGGAGGTTGATTGGCGCGCCTGATATGGGACAGGCTCAAGGCTTGAGACATACGTTGCTAAGTCTCGAGCACAGCACTCAACGCGTTGCATATTCCGACCTTTGATTTATCTGTGAACCAAAGCAATTGGCCTCCTGTGCAGCGTGAGGCCGCCAATGCGGTGTGTGTAGAAGGCGAGCTGTGTGGCCCCACACATCTCAACGTCGCTCCCCTACAGTCGACGCCAGGCAGGGTGCAACCACAGCACGTGGTCATCCAGAGATGCAGCCAATGCCGGATTATCCCCAGCAGCAAACACACACACACAGCACACACACACAGCACACACACACAGCACACACACACAGCACACACACACAGCACACACACACAGCACACACACACACAGCACACACACACAGCACACACACACACGCACACACACACAGCACACACACAGTACACACACACAGCACACACACACAGCACACACACAGCATACACACACAGTACACACACACACAGTACACACACAGCACACACACACAGTACACACATACACAGTACACACACACACACAGTACACACACACACAGCACACACACAGCACACACACACAGTACACACATACACAGTACACACACACACAGCACACACACACAGCACACACATACACAGTACACACATACACAGTACACACATACACAGTACACACACACACAGCACACACACACAGTACACACATACACAGTACACACACACAGTACACACACACACAGCACACACACAGCACACACACAGCACACACACACAGTACACACACACACAGCAGACACACACACAGCACACACACAGTACACACACACACAACACACAGTACACACACACAGTACACACACACACAGCACACACACAGTACACACACACACAGCACACATACACAGTACACACACACACACAGTACACACACAGTACACATACACACATACACAGTACACACACACAGTACACACACACACACAGCACACACACAGCACACACACACAGTACACACATACACAGTACACACACACACAGCACACACACACAGCACACACACACACAGTACACACACACACAGTACACACAGCACACACACACAGTACACACACACAGTACACACACACACACAGCACACACACAGCACACACACACACAGTCCACACACACAGTACACACACACAGCACACACACAGCACACACACACAGTACACACACACAGCACACACAGTACACACACACACAGCACACACACACAGCACACACACACACACAGTACACACACACACACAGTACACACACACAGCACACACAGTACACACACACAGCACACACACAGCACACACACACAGTACACACACAGTACACATACACACATACACAGTACACACACACACAGTACACACACACACACAGTACACACACACAGCGCTCAGGAAGTCGTGGGACGCGGCGGTTGAGACGCCGCAGAGGAAGCGAGGCTGCTGCAACGTGCGCGCTGCTGATAACGACGCCGCCTCCTCCTCCGCCACCTCGCCGCGTTCATCAGCAGCTCGGAGCCGCTCTCGGCCGCTCACTGCAGCTGATGTGAACACAACAAGACAAAGACACCCACCCCCCCGTATACATTTCGGGGCAATTGCTGTTTGCGAGCGCCTATTAAGGCTCGCACGGCGGTACGCGGAAAGGGTGGGTGGCCAGCACCACGCCCGGCCGTCTTTGTCCCCCCTGTGCTGATGTTTAAACACCCGCACCAAAGTTACTAAATTAAGCCTGAGTCGACGATAGTGGGGGAGATGGGAGGGGGGAGGTTCAGATAATTGCCAGCAGCGCTGCCGTTCTTAAGCCATCAGCAGCCACTTGCACACACTCACTACGGCTGCTATGAATACACTCACTCACTACGGCTGATGTGAATACACTCACTCACTACGGCTGATATGATTACACACACTCACTACGGCTGATGTGAATACACACACTCACTACGGCTGATGTGAATACACTCACTCACTACGGCTGATATGATTACACACTCACTACAGCTGATATGATTACACACACTCACTACAGCTGATATGAACACACACTCACTACGGCTGATATGAATACACACACTCACTACGGCTGATGTGAATACACTCACTCACTACGGCTGATATGATTACACACACTCACTACAGCTGATATGAATACACACACTCACTACAGCTGATATGAATACACTCACTCACTACGGCTGCTATGAATACACACACTCACTACGGCTGCTATGAATACACACACTCACTACGGCTGATATGATTACACACACTCACTACAGCTGATATGATTACACACACTCACTACAGCTGATATGATTACACACACTCACTGCAGCTGATATGAATACACACACTCACTACGCCTGATATGATTACACACACTCACTACAGCTGATATGAATACACACACTCACTACAGCTGATATGAATACACACACTCACTACAGCTGATATGAATTCACTCACTACAGCTGATATGAATACACTCACTCACTACAGCTGATATGATTACACACACTCACTACAGCTGATATGATTACACACACTCACTACAGCTGATATGATTACACACACTCACTGCAGCTGATATGAATACACACACTCACTACGCCTGATATGAATACACACACTCACTACGGCTGATATGATTACACACACTCACTACAGCTGATATGATTACACACACTCACTATAGCTGATATGATTACACACACTCACTACGGCTGATATGAACACACACTCACTATAGCTGATATGAATACACACACTCACTACGCCTGATATGAACACACACTCACTACAGCTGATATGATTACACACACTCACTACGGCTGATATGATTACACACTCACTACAGCTGATATGAATACACACTCACTACGGCTGATATGAATACACACACTCACTACAGCTGATATGATTACACACTCACTACAGCTGATATGAATACACACTCACTACGGCTGATATGAATACACACACTCACTACAGCTGATATGAACACACACACTCACTACGGCTGATATGAATACACACACTCACTACGGCTGATATGATTACACACTCACTACAGCTGATATGATTACACACACTCACTACAGCTGATATGAACACACACACTCACTACAGCTGATATGAACACACACACTCACTACGGCTGATATGAATACACACACTCACTACAGCTGATATGATTACACACACTCACTACAGCTGATATGATTACACACACTCACTACAGCTGATATGATTACACACACTCACTGCAGCTGATATGAATACACACACTCACTACGCCTGATATGAATACACACACTCACTACGGCTGATATGATTACACACACTCACTACAGCTGATATGATTACACACACTCACTACGTCTGATATGAATACACACACTCACTACAGCTGATATGATTACACACACTCACTACGGCTGATATGAATACACACACTCAGTACAGCTGATATGATTACACACACTCACTACGGCTGATATGAATACACACACTCACTACAGCTGATATGATTACACACACTCACTACGGCTGATATGATTACACACACTCACTACAGCTGATATGAACACACACACTCACTACAGCTGATATGAACACACACACTCACTACGGCTGATATGAATACACACACTCACTACAGCTGATATGATTACACACACTCACTACAGCTGATATGATTACACACACTCACTACAGCTGATATGATTACACACACTCACTGCAGCTGATATGAATACACACACTCACTACGCCTGATATGAATACACACACTCACTACGGCTGATATGATTACACACACTCACTACAGCTGATATGATTAC